CCTTCACCATCTCACTTATATGTGGATTCTTCAAGTCAAACTCACAGAAACAAATAGTAGAAGAATGGTAACCAAAAGTCAGGGTGTGAGGCAATGGGGAAAATCAGTCCAAGGATGCAAACTTACAGTTATAAGTTCTGAAATTATATGGAACATGGTGATTGCAGTTAATAATAATGTAGTGTGTACGTGAAATTTTCTGAGAGTAGATACTAACCATTCTTAACACACACAAGTAATTATGTAAAATGATAGATATTTTAGTTTTGTTAATACTTTCATAATGTACACACCTACCAAAACATCACATTGTACACCTTGAATATGTATAATTTTTATTTGTGAACTGTACCTCAATAGAATTGGAAAAATGACCCTTAAAAATAAAAAGGATTTAAATTGTCTGATTCTATTACTTAAGTATCATAGATCTATTATTATGTTTTAAAGTGAGAATTAAGTTAAAAATCATATTTCTTAGAACAGAGTACAGTTTCTACTATCAACTTACATTCTCTCCCCCTCCTTCTCCTCCACTTCATCATCATAACTAATTCTAATTGTCACTTCTTATGTGCCAGGCGTCAACTAGTGTAAATACTTTTTACATACTAAATCACTAAGTTGTATAAGAAGCTTTTGAGGTACATAATATCATTCTTATTTTAAGAGGGAAAAATTAAGGTCTGGAGTTGTCAAATGAGAAGTCACAGAGTTTAAAAGGGGGTTAAATGAAGAAAAAAAAAGCTGTCACAGATGCCACCCATTTTTTAAAAAATAGTTAGTTTTTAGTTATAGGTGGACACAATATCTTTATTTTACATTTATGTGGTGCTGAGGATTCAACCCAGTGCCTCACACATGCCAGGCGAGTGCTCTACCTCTGAGCCACAACCCCAGCCCCTTCCACTTTTAAAAAATGTGTTCTAATCAGTTTTGTTGTTGTTGTTGTTGTTATTGTTGTTCTAATCAGTTAACATGTTTTGAATCTAGGTAGATTGAATAATGGTGGAGGAAAAAGTCTTTGAAAAAAATAATGAATTTAGTTTGGATCAGAGATTCTGAAGGAATGACAGACCCTGGGATTTAGACTAATCCAGTGGTTACAAAGGAAAGCTGAAACTGTGGAGAGTTCAGGGGTGTGAGAGACCTGGAGGTATTCAGGGTTCAGTGAAGGCCTATGAAGTGATTAGGGTGGGCTTGGCCAGGTGGGGGCAGCAGAGCATCACCAATTGCTGAAGATGACAGAGCACCSAGAGTCTGTTTAGGAGATAGAGGAAGTGGGCCCCTGGAGGTGGGACGACCCGCACAACAGCAATGTATCCATGATGCAAAGGTCTCTAGAAACCTTTGAGTTGGTAGGCATGCGAGCAGATGCAAGTAACTAGTGATTTTGGAAAAAAGTGATTTTAGAAGAGTAGCGATATCAGCATCAGATTAAAGGGATTAAATGGGGAATGGGTATGGAGATAGGAAAAGTAGGAATATGTATTTTTGAATCTGCCAATGAAAAGAAGCAGAGTAATAGGATGGTAGTTTAAGGTGAAGACAGACTAGATGGGGAGATTTTTTTGTAACTTGAAGTATTCTTATGAAAAGTTTATGAGATCACTGGAATAATATCAGGAAGAGAGTAATTGAAGATGACAAAGAGGGAAAGATGCTTCTCAGAATAGTTAGGATATAACCAAGGGTACTAGTAGGTGAAATTTTCTGTTTGAGGAGAGCAGGAAGAGAGAAGATACAGATGATAGAGATTTTAAGGATCTTCACTAAGAGTGCAAACCTTATATAATTAAGCTGTTTTCTAATAGTCATCAGTTATTTGGAAATCTTAAATCATTTTTCCATTATCTACTTTCCCTTACTATTGCATTTTAATAAATAGAAATTTCAGGTACCATGTAAAGATGTTTACAAAATTCCTTGTTTCTTACATTGGTCACTTCAGTGCAGCCATGTACCTAAATTTTAAGGTGGGAAATGAGGGACCATTTCTGATGTCTACTGGGATGAGTATAAGCAGTTATCATGAATGGATCAGGCTTGTTCATCTCTGTAGACCTCTAAGCAAGTGAAGGTTATTTGGGTCAAAGATGTATCTTGTCCTAGAGTTTTCATTATTCGCCATGATTTAGAATTTGAAATTCTAATGGGCTTAATTCACACCTGAGCCACTTGTGTAATCAAATCCAAGTCTGTGAATGCATTGCTTCCTAATCCAGTGACATAAAGAAGTTCCCAAATCTTTTACCACCAGCCTCTCCTAGCCCCCAATGCTTTTCACTTCTGTTGTAAAGGAAAATACTCCAACGTTATTTGCAAGTGACTTACTTTCCACAGTGTAAGGTGAAAACTAATAATACAAAGTAGCAGAATGTCATGCAGATATTCCCTTTCTCGTTTCAGTTTATTTTTTCTTGTTCAGCATTGCTCTCTAACACTTTGGATCTGAAAATCTCTCTTTGCTTGTTAAAAACCTTCTCTAGTTGCCTCTACCATCTCTATGGATATGTGTGGTTCTTCTATTTTGTGTATAGTGAAGGGCTCCTGCATGCTCCTCATGCAGTCTTGTTTCTTCTTCAACAGAAACATTTTCAAAGTAATTATTTCAGAGTGGGTATGTGTCCTTTTTTACTTTACAAAAAAAAAAAATTGGAGGGAATATGGGAGAAGTCACGATTAGTAAAGCTGGAAGAGAATTAGTGAGAATTAGCCAATCTCACTTAATTGACATGTGACAAAATCAAAGCACAGAGGGGTTAAATGATTTGCTAGATAACACACAGGAAAAAGAAACAGATGGAGGAAGAAAAAAAAAAACCTGCATAAAGTGTACTAATATGGATTAGTTTGCCAAGAATTCAACTCACTGTTTGTTTTTTCAGTTTATGGCTTTTTTGACCATGAGAGGAAAACTAAATTGGAAGGTTAGGGAAACAGAAAGTTTTGTCTTTAAAAGTTAACTAATTGTCCAGCCCATCTTAAGAAAAAAATATGGTTCATCTGTCATTTCCCTCACTGTTATTGCTTGATTCCTTTTCACAAGGCCTAACCACTTCACCATGTCTTGGATTCTTTCCGGCCCATCAACTCCATTTCTTAGCATTGGTTTTTTTTTTCAATGCTTTGCAGACCTTTTCTGTTCCCTTTAGACTGAATTAATTCTTTCATTTATTTTTTTATTAATTCATTGGCAGAATGTTTTTCCACATTTTTATGAGAGCTTTGGCACTGAAAGAAGTATTTATTATACATGTACTTTAACCCCAAAGGAAACCAGAAAAGAAGGAAACTGGAACAAGAAATTAATATTCAATTTATGGGGATATTAACAGATGAAATATGGTTAGAAAAAATTTCCTGAAATAAAATAACCACACTGCCCTTCAATCCTTGCCATCAGTGTGGTTTGTCACAATACCAAATTAAATCCATTTTAAAAAAATGTTCTGTTATTTTAAACAAATATTTTCCTTAAATTTAAGCAAAAGGAAAAACTCCATTCAGGCAATAAATATTGGAGTGCTTACTATTTGTAAAGCACTGTGGTGGGCCCTCAAGAGCATAGTGAAATGAGTAAGTCTGCATGGGATACTTACTTTTTTTGAATTTCAAAAGCCTTTGCATAGATAGAAATCTGGGGTCTGTTAGAGAATCACACAAGTTTTCACGCTCTTTTGTCTTTTTCCTACCAAGCCTATGCAGCACTTGACACCGCTGAACTTTTCCCGATTGATTCAACAAATATTTACGGCATTCTTAATTATTGGTCTGGTGTAGGTCACTGATATATGGCAACAACGGTGAAAAGAATCACAAAATTCTTGCTCCTGCAGAATTTGTACTCTAGTAGGGGGAGAAACAGAATATATAACTAGGTAAAATATCATGTATAAGTACTATAGAGGGGGCTAAAAAAGCAGAGTAAGAGCATTGCAAGTTTTTGGCCTGGTGATGTTGCAATTTCAAAGGTTTCCAACAGGGTTTCCAGGGAGGGTCTCATTTGGATTTTAAGGGGTAGGGAGACTTTGGGTTTTATTCTGATGAAGTTATTGGAGTATTTTTCTTGGACAGATGATCTGATTTTTAATTTTGGTGGACCATGAATGAAGTTGGTCATGTCCTGAAGCAGGACTATAGATAAGGGAATTACTATAAAACCCAGTAGAGAGATAATTGTAGTAGAGTGCGTGGAGGAAACTGGTAGATTTCTGCATATATTTTGTTGGTGGAATCAACAGAATCTGCTGAGGAACTAAAGATGAGAAGGGGAAGAACGAGGACAAGGAGCTACCAGCTTTGGAAACCAGTTACACTTTCCGTATCACCTTTGTAAAAGGTGGAACTTTTTAAACCTCTTGATTCCAGTTTTCACTCCAGATTCTTCAGCCAGAATCACCAGGACGTTGGAAACACTACCTTTAAAACTCCTCCCAAGATTCTTCCACTGCCAACTTGGGCTAACAAAACTTGAGGGCTTAATATGTAACCTGTTGGTTATATATGACGAGCTCAAGCACAGCACTGTGCAGTGCGCGTGGGCCGTTGGGCTAGTGGAGGAAAAGATGAATCCTACTTTAATTCAGGAATACCCTTAAGAAACCTTAAGTGGCTTGGGTTAACCTCRGTTCGGGAGGGCTTTTTGGAGTAGCCTGATTTTACAAAGGTTTTCTCGGRCCTTTAAAAAGAAGAAAAGAACAAACATGAAAGAAAAAGATAGTGGGGTGGTATGGAGAGAGAAGTGACAACTGGCACACTCCAGATTCTAGCTCCTCGCCTCTCTCCGCGACACAACTCGGGAGAATTAACCCTGAAGCGCAGACACTACTACACGAAAGTTACGCCTCTACCAGCAAGGGGCCGGCTCGTTTTCCGTACGCAGCAAAGCTCGAGTTTCCGGAAGGACCAGATTCGGGAGCGGACCAAACCGGATGGAGGTCGCGCGCGCTCGCCTTTTCCCCGCCCTCTTTCTGGTTCACCCAGAGGCAATTTCTCAGGGGGGCGGGGTCGCGACGACCTTTTGCGCAGGCGCAGTCGGCGGTCCACGCGTGGTGAAATGCCTGGAACGCACGTCTCTCGTGTCCGTAGCTTATATAAGCGGATCTTGCAACTACACCGAGTTCTGCCCCCGGACCTTAAATCTCTGGGTGACCAGTACGTGAAGGACGAATTTAGGAGACATAAGACCGTTGGTTCTGACGAGGCCCAGCGTTTCTTGCAGGAATGGGAGGCAAGTGACGCCCCCTTTTCTTCGCCTCGGTTTGGGGTTTCCTTAAGTGGTGTTCCCGTTTGTCCCTTTCAGAGTCCGCCTGTCCCAGCTCGTGCCCAGTAACCCATACAGATTAAACAGGGGCATTCTACACTTGATAAAGCTGCATCCTGAGTCCTCCGGTTCCTGGCTGGAGCAGATCCAGTGTGTTCAGCCTTTTGAGTCCTTGCAGATAACTAGTTGTCCAAGAGGTGAGGGTGGAGGTCATAAAATTGACTAAATCACTGTCAAACGCTCAGAGGGCTTGCCGGCTTTGGTCCGCTCCACTGCCTTTGCAGGTAGCAAACGCCTGTTAAAAAGTTAATGGTTATTTCAAAACAGTCTSCACACATAGAGGTTTGTTTTCCTGATCTATTACTTTTTAAATCTCAGGGTCTTGGTGAATTTCTTACTCGATACAGAAATCAGATAGTCAGATAAAGGACTAGTGGTAAAGGAGGAAAATGCTGGTCGGAGTTAAGCAAGGTGGAAGTTGGTTTCTTTAGCTCTCCAGTCATGAGTCACGTGGCTTTGTTACTTTACCCTTCGCTCTTGTGCCCAGTCTTGAGCAGACACATGCATTAGGGATTAGTGACTTTATTTTTTAAACGAAGGAAAAAAAAATATTTTAATTTTTTTGTGGGTTGGGGGCCCTGCAGAATTTCCTCTTCTTACTGGTAAATATTAAGAAATGAATGGATTTGGAGATTAGAGTACGTCTCAGGTATTTGAAAGCATGGTAGAGGTGAGTTTTAATGTCTAAAAAGTTGATGGCTGAAGAGTTGACTGAATTGGGCTTAAAAAAAATCATAGAGGTAACATGGAGGGTAAACATGAAGCTTCTTCACTGAATTCCAGAATTGATTGTTGAACCATTAAAGTTTTAAAGACGGACATTTCGATTAATTGTGACATTTAGAAAGTTCATAAAAATCATGGTGTAGTTGATATAATTTGTTTGCCTGAAGCCAGGGAAGTTTAATATTTTAAGTGCAGACCACTTTCTTTTAATAAGGTAATTTGCTCTTGGAGCCAGAACTAGATTCAGATTCAGGCTTGGATATTATTAAAGGTCAGATCATTTAATTTTTCTAGTCTTTTATCCCTCACCTGTAAAGTAATAGTATTTATAGTATGCATCTGAAAATTAGTGTATGTTCCAGTAAGAATGTATTCCACTAAGCTACATCCTACCCTTGTTGCAGACTTTTAACTATTTAAAAAGTATTTAAAAGCGCTTAGAATATTATTAATTACATTGAAACTATTATATATTTAAGGTGTTTGTTAAGTGACCTCTTTTAAGTGAGTTCTGTTTGTGGATAGACAGGAGAGTTTGGTTCTGTGCTGGGAAGAAATGAGGTTACTTTTAGAAGTCATAGTTGGAAATTTTTAGGGAAAATGTAGGAAAGAGTGGGAACTTAGAAAAAATTGTTACAAGCTGAAGGAAGAGAGGGTGTAAGAAAAGAAATGGGTAAATTGTTGAACAACCTAGGAACCTTGGTAGGAATTTAGCTTTTTTTGTTTTTAACTTTTTTGGAATAATTTTAGACAAGGTACAGAGATAATATGGAGTTCCCATACATCTGTACCCTGCTTCCCTTTCTGGTAACATATCACCAAGATATGTTTATCAAAACTAAGAAATTTAACAGTATTATAATATTATTAATTATACATATTTTGCCAAGACTTCCATAAATGTTTTTATTCTGTCCAGGGTTCAATCTGGATCCATATTGCATTTAGTCATCTTTTCTCCTTAATCTCTTCCAATCTGTGACAGTTGATCATTTTTTTCCCTATCTTTCACTACCTCAACACTCTTGAAAAAAGTACTAGCCTTTTACTTTGTAGAATGTTTCTCTTTTGAGTTTTTTTGATGTTTATTCATGATTATGGGATTGATGTTATCCATTATTGAGAATACTATAGGAATGAAGTATCCTCAACACTTCAGAAGGTACATATCAACATGACATTATTGGTAACAGTGATTAACTTGATTAAGATGGTATCTGCCAGGTGTTCCACTGTTAATACTGTGGTTTAGATAAGGTTTGAGTGTGTCCTCTAAAGGTTCATATGCTTGATGCTTGGTCCCCACTGTGATGATGTGTAGAGGTTGTAGAACCTTGAAGAGGTGGGGCCTGGTGGGAAGTAATTAGCTCACTAGGAGCATCACCCATGAAAATGATTAATATAGTTTTTTTTTTTTTTTTTGGTACTTGGATTAAACTCAGGGGCATTCAACCACTGAGCCACATCCCCAACCCTATTTTTGTATTTTAGTAGAGACATGGTCTCACTGAGTTGCTAAGCATCTCGCCATTGCTGAGGCTGGCTTTGAACTTGGGATCTTACTGACTCAGCCTCCTGAGCTGCTGGTATTACAGGCGTGCACCACCTTGCCCAGCTTCATTCATATTAATACAATTCTTGTTAGGACACTAGTTAGTTCCTGTGAAAATGGGTTGTTATAAAAATAGTGAACCTGGCTCTTAAATCTTTCTTGTGTCCTGTCTGCTTGTGATCTCACACATTCTTCCACCATGATGCTGTCTGCCATGTTGTGATATAGTCAGAAGACCCTCACGAGGGCCAAGCAGATACCAGTACCATATTCTTGGACTTCCAAAACACGGAGCTAAATAAATCTCTTTTTTCTTTATGCATTACCCAGCATTAGGTATTTTATTATAGTAACAAAAAATGGATTAAGACTGTTTGTATTTTTTTTTTGTAATTAACACATATTTTAGGACAGAGACTCAGAGACTAAGTTCTCCTTAAACTTGGCCAGCTATTTTTAGTGTTCATTGAAGAATTTTGCCTGTGTCCACTAAGCTATGTCCTATCCCTGTTGCAGACTTTTAACTATGCTGTGTGGAATTTGGCCTCTAGGATTCTTTCATATACTTCTAAAATTAATTTTGGACCTGAATGAATTCTGAATTTGTTTTGTATCATGAGCAAAGTTGGGTATGAGTACCACTGGATAAAAGAAAAGGGGAAGGATCAAGAGTGCTATTTGAGATCATGGAAAACAGGCATATTTCAGAAAGAATTCAGCTGGAGAAGTTTCTGTTTCAGAACCACTTGGAGGAAAGTGATGGAAAGTATTTTATTTCTTCTTAAGAGTAAACATGTAAATGTGTATTTACAGAGAAAATTCTAAATTTATATAATTTCTTAAGAGAAAAAATTGAAAGTTTAGGAAGAGATGTTTCTTATTTGTTAAGATAATGTTTGATAACTGGTTTATAAAATGTTCATTATAATCTTAATCCCAAGTCTTTTAGGAGGCAAGAAGTAGAATTGTGTTGGTAGATCAGGGTCTTATTGCATTTTAAAGTAATGACTTTGTTCATTTTATGAAARATAGCTGATTTAGATAATGCTTTTAATTTTTCTGTCTACCACTTATTTTCTAGGGACTCAGAATAAGAGTTAAGATTAAATAGTAAATAAAATATGTTGGTGAGAGAATGTGAGACAGCAAAAAGTAGTGTGCTTTCTATAGCTACTCGAGAGCCATACATTTAATTTTCCTTTTTCTATCCCACTTATTTATGCAGATTGCCTTCTTGCCTGGCTTCTCTTGCTTTTCCCAAATATTTGCCTTGCACAGTATCTGGTAGGGAATGTTTATAAGTAGAAATTCTGTTTCTGGAAAAAAGTAAAAAGGCTTAAGCATTCTGCAAAAGGGTTAATCACYTTCTATTGCCAGGAATGTGGTAGGCATATTATGGGGCACAAAAATAAACAGTTAATATATTTTACTTTCACAGTTTTCAAAGTTTTGTAGTGTAGAATAGGCAGTTATAACACAGTATCAAAGAATGTCTGTTAAATGCTATGGGAGCAAGGAGGAATGAAGATGAAGGCAACATAGATGATTGAGCTGAGCACTGACCTAGTCAGTTACTGTGTCAAGAATAGGACTTTATTAGAGCTGGCTGCCATGCCTGTAATTTCAGAAGCTTGGAAGGTGGAGGCAGGAGGATTACAAAGGTTGAGGCCAGCCTGAAGAAACTTGGCCAGAACTTCAGGAAAAAGAAAAAAACAACCGATGTGATTCTGCAGTCTGTATTTGGGGTAAAAATGGGAGTTCATAACCCACTTGAATCTAATGTATGAAATATGATATGTCAAGAGCTTTGTAAAATTTTGAACAACCAATAAAAAATATGTTAAAAAAAAGAAAAAAACAACAACAGGACTTTCTAGAAAAAGGAATAACATGTGAAGCATTGAAGTAAGAAGCAATGTGACTTTTCACAGCATTGCTGTTTGGAATTTAGTTTCTTATGAAAGATTAGGAAGAGATAAAGCTGAGAAGAGACAAGATATTCTTCTAAAGATTTTACGCTTTTATTTTGAATAGAAAGATTATAAGCAGTGGTGGAAATGATTTAAATTATATTTTAGAAAGTTCATTTTAGCAGCAGTATAGAAAGAGCCAGATTGAAGGTAGAGAGAATTATAGGCGATGATACAGTAATCTCAAATATATACATGCCTGAACCAAGACAGAGGTGTTGAAAATGGAGGGTACAGATTTATGAGTTATTCTTTCAAGGCAAAATGGGACTTGACTTATGGTTTGGGTATGAGGGTAAAAGCTCCCGTTAATATKCGAAGGTGAGATGATTAGATTATGAGACCTGCAACCTAATCTGTCCATCCTAGTTTGAATGGAATGGGTGGTAACTGTAGTCAGCTGGGGTGTGGCTGGAGGAGGTGGGTCACTGGGACATGCCCTGGAAGGATGCATCTTCCCTGTGGCTCCTTCCTCTTTCTCTTTGTCTAYTTTCTGACCCACTCAGAATGAAGAAAGGCCCAGAGCAATCAAGATGGCAATCTATGGACTGAGACCTCTGAAACTAGGAGCCCTAGATAAACTTTTCCTCCTCTAAGTTGTTCTTGTCAGATTCTTTGGTCACAGTGATACAAAATACTGACTAAAACGGTGACCAACA